TAGCCTTCAGCACACCCGACGGCCTGGTCTTGCCGCACTCAGACAAAGGCGCCTAAAGTAATTATACTTCCTCTTCTGGGAATATGATGGTCTGCACAAGGGATAATTCCCTGTTTCTTTCCATCTTCCCTTGTGAGTCACCTCTTCCTTAGTGTCAGTCTCCATGGAGTCATCTCGTGGCTAAACCAGTCAAGATACTGTCTGCAGGTTTTTTTTTTATTTATCATTTATTAGCAATCTGAATTTACATTCTATGAGCTAATTTGCTGTCATGTACAATAATTATTCTATTGTACTAAGTTGGCTTGAAGAGCTGTAATCCATCGATTACACCTCAGTTTCCCTGGAGATCGTTTGGCCAAGTTCGTCTTAGTCTTCTGTATTGTGTAGGTTGAAGGAGAGCTTCTATTGCGTTGTTGGGGTGAGATTCCAGTTTCTGATAATGTTTTTGTATTCTGTCTGTGATTACGGTTCTTACATATGGGATCTTGAGGTCGGTGTGAAGAGTTTGGTTTGACACGTACCAAGGTGCGTCAACTATGGCTCTAAGTATTTTGGATTGATTTCGCTGGATGATTTCTATGTTGGACCTGCTGGCGCATCCCCAGAGCTCAATGCCGTATGTCCATATGGGTTTAATTATTGTTCTGTAGATCAGCAGTTTATTATCTATTGTTAGGTAAGATTTCCGACCTATTAACCAATTTATCTCCTTGAACTTAATTTCGATTTGTTTCCTCTTCTTCGCTATATGGTGTTTCCAGTTTAATGTTGAGTCCAGATGTAGTCCTAAGTATTTTACTACATCCTGCTGTTGAATGTTAACATGATTTAGGTGTACTGAGGGGCAGTTACCTTTCCTGAGAGTAAAAGTCACATGCGCCGATTTGCTTTCATTCACTTTGATTTTCCATCGGTGTAGCCATTTCTCCATTAGATTCAGATGTTCTTGTAAATTAGATGAAGCAATTACCGGGTCTTCTGACGTAGCGAAAATTGCTGTGTCGTCTGCGAACGTACCTATTTTTGTTAATTCGGTGGTCGGTATATCTGAGGTGTATAGCACGTAGAGGAGTGGACCCAAGATACTGCCCTGAGGAACTCCTGATTGTATGTTTCTTCGGTTGGATACTTCAGCGTTGATTTTTATTTCGAATTCTCTGTCTGTTAGGTACGACTGCAGTATTGCGAAATATTTGGCCGGTAGAATTCTTCTGATTTTATAAAGCAGGCCTGGATGCCAAACTTTGTCAAATGCCTGGCTTACGTCGAGGAAGGCAGCAGTGCGGTATTGTTTGTTTTCCATAGCTTGGTTGATTATATTAGCTATTCGGTGGCATTGTTGTACTGTGGAGTGTGCCTGTCGAACGCCAAATTGGTGGTTAGGGATCCAGTCATTTGGATTGGCGTCGTGATTAATTCTATTGAGGATAAGCTTTTCAAGAAGTTTCGATATTATGGGTAACAAGCTAATTTGTCTGCAGGTGTCAAACATTCACAGGAGCCCTACCACCGCGTCCTATCGAGCCCACGCCCTCCCACAATACTTCAACAGATAACGTGGCAGACATACATTTTAGTAGACTCTACACAGAATGCGATCTCATTTCATAACTTTCTGTCAACTGGCTCAGGATCGTGTCCAGTGGCAGTGGTGTTGAACCTTCGGGTTCTGCTTCCAGAGAGGTATTTTGCTAATTAACTGACTCTCTGACAGGAGAACCCGAAGGTTCAACAGCGCTAATACCAAAGCCAGCTACTGGACACGATCCTCAGCCAGTTCCATGCACCTCCCATCCTCACAACCCATTTCCATAAGATCCATCTTACTAATTAACTGACTCTCTTATAGAAGAACCCGAAGGTTCAACACAGCTAATACCAAAGCCAGCCACTGGACACGATCCTGAGCCAGTTCCATCCACCTTCCGTCCAAAGAAGTCTATTTCCCAAAAGATCCATCGTTACAACTTATATCCTTCTTCAGAGTCACCGGTCTCCCCGAATTCTTCATGCATACTTGTCTCCACTGTAGTAGCAACTCACGGAGCTGAACCCTTCTTGAGAAGCTGACAATTGTACAGCTACTCAAAAACTTCCCAGTAATTTATGGAACCCGAAGGTTCATTGCCGTGTTCACAAGAGCCCTCCAGCGGTCCATATCCTTAGCAAGATCAGTCCAATCCATCCCATCCTATATCTGTAAGATCCATTTTAATATTGTTCACCCACCGATGCCTTGGTCGCCCCAGTGGTCTCCTTCCTTCCGGCTTTCCCACCAATGTCCTATATGCATTCCTCTTCTCTCCCATTTGTGCTCCATGCCCTGCCTATCTCATCCTCTGTAGTAGCAACTAACTTATTTAACCCACCGCACAGTCGAATGGCAGTATGATTGGTGAATGGCCAGGTGCAGAGGATGTGCACATTCTGTGTTCTGTACACTTTTCCCGTGTGTCTTACCGGGGTCGAGACAACCCAAAGAGAGCGTGTGCGCCAGAACTCTAATGCTATACGAACATTCCGAAATTTGTTTGGTTTCCGTACTGATGACAGAGACAACAGAGGCAATATTTTATTTGTGTGCGCCCTTGTGAGCGTCTGACCTATGAAACAAAGGGGCGGGCACGCGTGTTTAGTTCCCAGCTACGTCCTTTGAGGTTTTGCATACCTCGCTGGCCTTGATGTTCATTTACTGAAGACCTTTACATCTGTAAGGCGTACAAGTTTTTAGGTTTACATGTGGGGTCATAGGTCAGAATTTAGACTGTGTCCACTCTCTTTGCCTGTATGTACAGTATAACCCAACCGATTCCTCGCCTCTCACTTCGACCCAGAAGATAGAGAAAACATGTCCCTCCGAAACAAAAAGAAAAAAATAATTAGGTAAAAGTAAAAAAGTAAAGCTGTCCCTGTAACAGGCCATGAAGGCCTATAGGATTGTGAGACGTTGAGGGTCCCACATTATCTAGACAATCGGCTCAAAGATGGCGGTAAGGTTGTCAGCCTTACGCGCCGGCCGCGCTTTACTCCCCAAGAAAATTATTTAATTAATTCCTGGTACTCATTTCTGTTAGGGCCTGAGTGAACACCAGGGCCACAGTGCGGGCGGAATGATTAGGTCAATTGAAAAAATTCCAATAACCTCATCGGTATTTGAACCCGCGACCTTCCGACTTGTAGCATCGTGCCTTAACCACTACGCTAGGAACAAATAGAAATAAAACAACGTAAAAATTAAAAAGAATAATATATTCTAGGATGTAAAGCCGTGCAGTCTGGTAGAATTACAGCAATATTTCAGAGGAGCGTGCTGGCTCCATCTTCAGGGTCGAAGAGAGACGACTTCTGTCTACTTCACGCAGGTTTATCGCTTGTTTTATTTGTATTATTAGCACGCACAGAATAGATACGAAAAGACTGTCTGCTCGTTCGTGACATACTACATAACTTACGTTCATTTGACGTGTTAACGTGAGGCAATTCTTGGCTGTGGTACTCTGAAACTGTATTAAATTCACGGCTTTCATCTTGCAGTTACGTTACGTTTTGCTTTCACACTGTGATCGTAAAAGAACAGATTTCTAGATTTCATGGATTTTCCCCGTTTTCAGCCCTCCCCCCACCCCCAATAAGAGAAAGTGGCTTTTGCAGTTTCGTCCTGTTTTTCCGTCTCGTACGTACGGACGTGCGCCTCGCCGGCGACCACTGGCGAAAGAGCCTCTTGTACCCCGTATGTAGGAAGCTGGGTGGACCCCAGAACCGGTCTGGACGCTGTGAAATTAGGAGAGAAATAGATGTTCCCCAACCGGGCCGTCCAGCTCGTAGCCTGTCGCTATTCCGACTGAGCTATCATCAGGTACACAAGGTGATGAGGATTTTGTTGGTTCTGGGGCTTCATTTTATGATGCTGCCCGCCTCTCCACTGCACAACGTCGAATTACTCGGATTACATGAAGCAGATCTGGAAGGAAGCGGTCGTGACGTAATCGAGGTAAGGTCCTTCAAATTACAGTAAAACTTGGTTATAGCAACATCGGTTTCTGCGACACCTTGTCTATTGCGTCAAATATTCAATGGTACGAACTAATTCCTCATAAAGCAACTGTTTTTATACCTTGCTTAGTACGACATGCACAAATGCATCAACCTCGTATGTAACGTCATTTTCATTCCTGAATTTCTCTGATATGGACATTGAACGTAATTTAGAAAGTGTGTATTGGGCAAGTAACAGGAAACAGATGAAGATAACTGATTACTGTACTCGTATCTAGGTACAGTAAGGCACAACAATTGATGTAATCTACTGTAATTTGGTGAGTAGGCCTACCTTTAATATACAGTATTAGTGCGGTGTGTATTGTCAGTGAAAAGCGCTGTAATATGTCTTTGATATTACACATTTGGGCAATTCCACGTTAATGTTACCTTAGTCTGTACTTAACTATGTATTTCACTAAAAAATGCAACATTTTAACTCGGTTTTTGGTACATTTTTACGTGACTAACATAAGACTACTGTGGAAGTGCCCATTTCGGTTACAACGACATTCGTTTATAACGACACTATTTTTAGGTCCCTTTGATGACGTTATAACCAAGTTCTACTGTATCTGCAAGGGACTGGAGAAAATGGTGAGAAACCTTGGGTGTGATAGCTTGTGTCCTAGGCGACATTTGAACCCAGGACCTATAAGCCTAGAGCATTGCCACTATGCCATTCTGATATTTGTTTACCGATTGAGGTGGCGTAGCGGTAACGGAGTACACTCCTACTCTGTAAATACTCGGTTCGAACCTCGGTCAGGACACCTGCTATCCTAACGGAGGATTTCTGTTGTTTTCCTCAATCCTTCCGGGCAGATGCTGGGGCAATGCCTCGATGGGGCCACGACAGTTTCCTTCCAAATCCTTTCTAATTCACCATTCGATGCCATATAGTGTGGGCTACTGACTGCCGTGAAAGAGTCCACAGAAACTAAGGACATCTGTTACAGGTCTTGCACGGAGAACGAGTTCCAGTGCACAGACGGGAGCTGCATCTCGCTGACCTGGAAGTGTGACCTTGAACCTGACTGCACCGACGGATCCGACGAAATCAACTGCGGTGAGTCATGAAGCCACTCTGTTTTCATCTCATAACCATCTGGTTTATCTTACAACCCCAGCTCTCACCACCACCAAGCAAAGAAGTAAAAGTAAGAAGTTCTGGGAGGAATTAACTGTCTACAATCCTTTGATACGGCACGGACCGCACAGAAAAAGAACAAAAAATATGACAGACAGACACCCAGACAGCAAAGTGATCTCATAAGCCTTTTAATTTCGTGAAATAGAGAAATTTGGCTAAAAATGGTTTGGTCATGAAGAGAGTTAAAGTTTATGCCCAATAAATACATGGTTTATGTTTAACGAAGCCGTCAGTAGCTGGGTGCTATAGCATGCAATGCAAGAATGGTTAGTAAAGAATTCCAAAGGAAGCGGTCGTGACCTGATTTGAGATATAACTCCATAAACTCTTAACGAGCTCAAAAGAAAAACCCGACTACTCTAGACGAATGGTTCTCGAGGGGGGGAAACTTTTCTTTGGGCAGGGATTTCCAAGTTTTCTTATGTGCGAAACTTGCTCAAGGGGGGGGGCTGTACCATCGGGCCAAATTTGGTAGAAACAGGCACGGCGGTGTGAGAATATTGTGAAATACAGACTCTATCACGTGACAAACATATAAAGAACAGACACGCCCTCCATTATATATATAATGTTGTCACTGTGATTAATTAAGCACGGGTGGGGAATTGGATGTATAGCTCAACCATTCATCACCTCGGCACTATATGGAGGTGAGTGGCGCCCCAGCCGCTTGACTCTCGGGGAGCGAGCCTCCGGTATCCATTGGATAGGAGGCTGTGTGGGCCCCAGAGTAGGTCTGGACGCTGTGAAGAAATAACTTGTCCTTCCCGGGAACTGAACCTCGGCCTTCCAGCCTGCAGCTACACTGACTGAGATATCCCAGCTCCTTTCTATAGATACATGAAAGGTAAAGGTAAAGCCGTCTCTGTAACAGGCCGTGGAGGCACATAGGATTATGAGACTTCGAGGCTCCCGCATTTTCTAGACAATCGGCTCACAGATGGCGGTGAGGTCAGCCTTACGCGTCGGCTGCCCTTTACCCCCAGCGTGATTCCTGGTACTCATTTCTGTTAGAGGCTGAGTCGACTCCAGGGCCATAGTGCGGCTAGAAGGATTAAGTCATTTGAAAAATCCCATGACCTCATGTAGCATACTGCCTCAGCCAACTACACATAGTGAGACAGCTGAAGTGTGTTTAGTGTCTGATGCTATGTGCGATGCTGGTTGCAGACATACAGCCGCCCTCGTGCAGTGAGGGTGAGTTCCAGTGCGCGTACCAGCGCTGTGTGCGCCTCGAGTTCCGCTGCGACGGTGACGACGACTGCGGGGATCGGAGCGACGAGGACGACTGCCCGAAACTCGAAGGCAATTGCGGCTCCGCAGAGTTCAGGTGAGCCGAATCTGGTCACTAGATTTTGCTCTAGAGGCAGTGCTCTGGATCTACGTTCGGTTGGCGCCCGGGACATCGGGACATCGGCCCTCCTGACTGCCGGGAGAGTAACTCGGCCGTCCCTTCATCCGAAGGTATACAGGGTGTCCCAGGAGGAAATGTCAATATTCTGGGAGGTCACAGTATCGGTCATTGTATTCAGTTATTCAGTATTAGAGGGGGTGGGTTTCCCCATGCACCGCCACTAGTAGTCTATTGTACGTCCCCCTTTAATTTCTACTGTCGCCATACCCTACCGGTACTGGTGCTCGCTATCTCCCCTTTCTGCCAGCGAGGTCGGCCCTCTTCTGGCAGTGGAACCCGATAACTTCCCCATCTACCGGAAGCACTGGAAACTACTTGGGCGGGAAACTTTTTGCCTAATTTTGCTCAGAGGTCTCCTAGAGACATGAGGATCTTTTAAGTGCCGTAAAGCTACGACACGGGACCCACGGCTTAAAGTCCCTCCGGAGGACTTGTTCCCTGAATTTTTCCGCCCTTAAAAATTCCACGACCTCCTCCGGGTTCGAACCCGCGTACCTTGGGTCATGAGGTGGGAACATTACCCCTAGACTACGGAGGTCGCAAATGAGTGTATATGAGTATGAGCATGTCTCCTACTCTGAGCGGTTTCCGAGACAGAGCTAGTGGTTATGAAGAATGTTACGGTTTGGGACATAACGCCGGCCGCCTAGTCAATGAAAATCGCCCGATGTTTCAGAGGAACACGCGGCCTCCATAAGCCAATAAGAAGCAGGTAGCAAGCACAGCCTTCTCCAACCATCACGTCTGTTAGGCAACCCTGCATCTTCTGGCCACCCTTCACCCTTGTTTCCTCAGGCATGGGTCCTTCACGTTTAATTCCTTGGAGACAGGATGTCTCAGTATTTATCGCTCAGGAGAAGGTAAAGCTATCCCTGTAACAGGCTTTGACGGCCCATAGGGTTGTGAGATGTCGAGGCTCCTACATGTTCTCTAAACAATCGGCTCATAGATGGCTGTGAGGTTGTCAGCCTTACGCCCCGGCCATCCTTTACCCCCCAGGAAGATTCCTGGTACTCAATTCTGTTAGAGGCTTAATGCGGCTGGAAAGTTTAGTTCAATTGAAAAAATCCACCTCATCGGGAATTAAACCCACGACCTTCCGGCTTGTAGCATAATGCCTCAACCAACTACGCTACCGCGTGTGGGCTCCCTATTGGTTCATGGGTCCTTATTCAATATATCTGGACCACCCTCACCAGTTCTTATAGGATCCTTCATCAGCCATCCTTAGGATGCGTCCTGTAGCGGTTGTAGAATCTGCAAAAGGTAAAAGTTGACTCTGCGATTAACTAATTAAGCACTACACCATGAAGACTTGCGGGGGAGTGGATGTATTGATCCACGTTTTCTTGGCCTCGGCACTAGCTGGAGGTGAGTGGTCAGCTTCACTCCCCGGCCGCTTTACCCCCTGGGATAAAGCCCTCCGTTCTAATTGGATAGGAGGCTGAGTGGGCCCCAGAACCGGTCTGGGTGACACAGAGAGAAAAAAAATCTTTACCTTACGGGGACTCTAACTCAGGACCGTAGCCAGTCGCTATAACGGCTGCTCCGCTAAAGGGCTCTTAGTCATACAAGAATTAATGACTTCTGTTCTTGTGTGAAGGTGCAACGGGGGCAAGTGTATCCCTGAGTGGTGGAGATGCGATTCGAAGAGAGACTGTGAATCAGGAGAGGATGAAGAGGATTGCGTGGAGAAGCGCCCCCGCACGTGTGGGCTGGACGAATTCGTATGTTCCACTGGCAGCTGCATACTGGTATGTATTCTTACCAATACATGTAGATATTCAACTTCACTGTATTTCAAGTTTCATTAAAAACTGAAAGGAGGAAAAAGTTTCTCATAGTCTTTTAAATGGATACTGACGTTTCGACATAACATGCTACATCCATCTTCAGGGTTGAATTGTTTAGGCTGACAGGTTATGTAAGCGGATTGCAAGGAAGACAGACCTTGTCCCTTCTGTGGGTCTGAGAGACCACCTCATGCTGTACACTTCAGCGCATCGATAGTGGCGGTATGTTCCTCAGAAACGCTGATATTTGCTTACAAAGCTACAGGGTGTTTCAACCCAGAAGATCACAATCTGGAAATATTTCTTATGTAAATTTTCTTTTGCAAATACCACTGCTACACTAGGTGTATGCAATTGCAGTGCACAACTTGCAATTTATGTGGACGCTGTGTCTGCCATTGCGTTCATCTCGTTTTTTTCTTTCTTCTGTCCTCTCCTTTTCTCCTTAATTTCCCTCTTTATTCTTCCATCATACTTATCTTCCATCTTTATGCTGTAATAGACCGTTGGCATTCCAAAGGGCTGTTTTAGAAACTTAGCCATTGTGGGTTTTAGTTAGTAGAGTTGATAACATGTTTAGTATCATAGTATTCTGCTGGATAAGCTGATTGAACATGTTCTTGAATTCTTCAAGAAATCTGTTTAAGGTTATGGGTGAGGTGTCTCCTTTTTGTTCGCTGTTATGTGTAATTCCTCGTGTTACATCTTCGTAACTAGCATTTCCGTATGCATTGTTTGTGGTTGGTTTAGGTATTTCGGGTCTCACTAGGGAATTGGGATTGTGCATGTTTGCTGTAGGGTTTTGTTGAACATTTTGTTTGTTGTCTGCGTTATTTGGTTTGATGAGGCTGTGATAGAACTCAATCCTTTGTAGTTTGCTGGATGCGAGCCATCGCATAGGGCACAGTTAGCAGGAGAAGTCATATATAAAATTAAAAATATCACTATATTTTATTACAGCAGTTGGAAAGAATTTTCTCTTCTACACATTGTCCAAGCTGGTTCTGAGGCCCACCCAGTCTCCTATCCAGTGAGCACAGGGGGTTCTTTCCCTGGGGGTAATGCAGGCAGGGCGTAAAGCTGACCACTCACTCCAACAAGTGCCAAGGCCAAGAAAACGTGGATCTATACATCCACTCCCCCACACGTCTTTATGACGTAATGCTTAATTAGTTAAGCACAGGGAAAAATTTACCTTACCTAAAGCAGTGTTTACATTAGCGTGGTGCCACGGCGGAATCCTGAGGCGTGCAAATTTGCCGTTCCTGAAAGCCGTGACCACGCTTCGGGGTGGTGTATTCGCACGCCTTTCCTACACGCTTGTAAGTCATTTTGAATGTAAACACTGGAATGTTTGAAACCTATTACACGTCTGGGGTTGGGTTTCCACGTGATCATTTCAGTCGCTGTACGAAGATGGGAGGGGTGTTACTTATGTGCGGTGCTGTTGCTGAAGTAATAAAAATTGAGCTGTTACTTGCTGATAAAAATCAAAATTTGGAAAGTGCCGAAGAAAACGAATGTGGTGGGTTAGAAACTGGATTGCTAAGAGAGAATCGATTGGTCCATCAAGAACACTATCGGATGAACTTGTATCTACCAACCCAGATGATTATAAACACATGCTGCTAATCACACCAGAAAATTTTAATTACTTACTTGAGAAAGTTTATCCATACATAGCGAAACAGGATACTACGTATCGACTCGCTGTACCACCGAAAGTGAAGTTGGAAGTTACACTACGCTACTTGGCCACTGGAAATGGATTCAAAAGCCTAGAGTTTTTGTTCCAAATGCCAAAAACCACAATATGCAAATTTCTCCCTTAGACTTTAAAAGCCATCAAGTTAGCTTTGGAGCAACATTTACAGGTATGCGAAAAATAATTACATAATTTTCTAACGTACAATAATAATGTATCTTGGTTAATGTGAAATTACCTGTAAGGTGAGTCAGTATGAACTTCCATTAAAATTAATCACCATTCAAAGTAATAGAGAATTGAGAGATTTCTGAACATACAAAATCATTTGATTTTGAAAGATAAAGGATTTGTACCTTAAATGTTTGCTCATCTCAGACGTGTCACTAGGAGAATTCAGTTACCACGACTCTTTACTGCCAGGGATTGACTTACTGACAATGAGGGAAACTGAAAATTCCAAAATCATACGTATTTCAAAATTCTTTATTTCAAACGAAACAATAATACAAGGCTAAGAAAAGAGTTTGATAAAACCACAGCGGAAACTTAAGAACCGAAACTAAAAATACATACATAGAATAACCACTAGGGAAAATTCATAATTTGCTGCCAATCCACTTGGTCGAAATGTTGCACCTCAGATCGGTCACAATGTTCAGGAGCGCTCTGTCGACTTATTTCCCGACACACATGAATCAACTGGTGATATCCGGTTTGAAAAATGTGGTATTGTTCTCCAATAACTTAAGCGACAGTTTGTCCGCATCCTTTAACTCTTTTCCTGACATTTCGGCAACGTTCCCGCACGGGGTGCACCACAGAACTGACACACGGTTATTTGTCACGCCTGGCTGAGAGAAGTGTGGCGACTGGCAGGCATGCGTTCGTGCCTATGCATTCACGGCTGTTTTGTTTACACGAGCCGTGACCACGGCCGAACTATTTTCACGCCTGTTATTAGATGTGGCACCACGCTAATGTAAACACCAGTCCTACTGATGTACTGACTTAGAGGGGCAAATATTTTGGTCATCTGAAACACCATTGCTGGGCCCACTGTGCAACCCCGACCTTGTTAGGGCCTTTGAAGGGGCCTTGACCATAATGCTAGAGCCATAACTCTCCTGACTGAGGCCCTCCTCATGTCTGTCAGCTCTGACCATACAGAAACGAAGATAAAGCATAATAACATAGCAGGATTCTTCTTCCTGCTCACAATTCCTACACACAGAGCTTTCCCAGAAGCCCACAACATGTAGGATCTGCCTCAGCGTACAGTGGCCAGCCAGCAGCCCTGTTACCAGCCTACCCCGTTTTTTGTCCAAGGCCAATAGGTCCCTAGACACTTAGTTGATGTGAAGGCGTTTCAGTGAATTTCATTGACTGCCTCATACTCCATGCAGCAGCCTAGTGTTCAGAGCGCCTCGGTATAGTGATGGACTTCGAGCTGGACGGTCGTGGTTCGATACCCTGTAGGTGCAAGAGACTGTTCTTTTCTCCACAGTGTCCAGTCTGGCTCTGGGGCCCAACCAACTTCTTATCCAGTGGGTACTGGGGTCTCTTTCTTCAGCAGTAAAGTGGCCAGTGCATGAAGCTGACCACTCCTATCTAGTACCAAGGTCAAGGATAGTGGATCTATACCTCCACTTCCCCATTTGTCACCATGGCGTGATACTTAATGGACAACTTTACCTTTTACTGTTCATGTTTGAAGCAGATATTTACAGACGTGTGACTGCTGTGTGTTACAGAAAACGTGGCTGTGTGATGGTGTGCAAGACTGCTCTCGAGGTGAAGACGAAGAGAAGTGTGAGGCTGTATGTGAGGAATCTCAATTCAGGTGTGGCAACATCAGTAGCAATGATTCAACGTCAACATCATCGAGATCGGCTATCACCTGCATCGGAAAGAAACATGTGTGTGATGGAAAGAAAGACTGTCCCAAGGGTGAAGGTAAGTCACATATCAGAGCACTGTAAGTGTTTCTGGAAGAGAGGTCTGATTTGGCATCAGTGTTCATGTCATGCAGTAATCTTTTAACTGGGTGTCTTTTGGGAGCTTGTAGTCTTCCATTTAGTGGGCATATTGAAACAGAAATTCAACCAATTTTAAAGTGTTCTGAAGATGGTACATAAATAAAAAAAAAAACCTGTGGTTTTAGTCCGCAAGTTAACTATACCGACTGAGCGACCGCCGCTTGTCGGCGAAGCTAGTGCCAACTGTAGCGGATAGAGGGTTAGCCGTTAGTTTCGGTTTTCTAGACCGAAGCTGATATTTCCTTGAAATAGCTCTTCAATTATTCTCACAAGGCTGAGGGAACCCTATTCTAGACCAACTACCTCTCATAAAATCTCGTAGCGCCGGGAATCGAACCCGGGACCTCTGGATCTGTAGCCAGGAACTCTGACCACTAGACCACAGGGGTGGTAGATGGTACATTAAACATATTATTACTGGATTTTTTAACTTTGTTCATTACCTTGCATTTTAAACAATACACAACGTTTTGGAAAATTTGGATCTATTAGGTCTTTACAGCTTGTTTTTGAAACGTTATGTTTTATTTGGAATAGCAGACAAGGGAAAAAGTTAAGGAGCCCAGTAATCCTCAGTTACATAACTTTTGCTTCTATAGATTTAGTTTTGAGTTCTTATATGATTTGTTTGTTTTGTTGTCAAGAATATTATAGAACCAGGAACTTTAAATGCATCTGAATATGTTGACATGACTGTTCTAGTCTGAGAATAACAGGGGCGTAGGGTACATGGATGTGGTGGAAGCATTGCTTCCCTATAGAAAAGCAACCAAGAACATTTCTGGCAATTTTTCAATTTCAAAAAAATATTTCATACTTCAAAATATTAATTAATCTGAGAACATATATTACATATAATGAGAATATTGCAAGTTTTAATGTGTTACATAGACAATTTATCAGGATAGATCAGTTATTTTCTTCCAAAATGCAGGGAAATTTAAACTGCAACACCCGCGGAAGCAGCAGGTCTTTCGCTTCCACCCTCCCCTGGGTTAACTGGCTGACTCAATGTCAGTGTTGTGTGTAAGTGAGCTATGCGCTATGGTATGCTACCAGCTTCGTGCTTCCAGCAATGTTGTCAGATGTAAGGCACAGTTTGCAGTAGAATAATCTGTGACCTTGCAGTTAAGCGTGCTTACTAGAAATTCGCAGAACCAGGATAGGTTGTCATCACTGGCTTTGATGAACATTGAAAAGTCCTTCCTAAACAAACTGCAGTCCAAACCCATTTTTCTAGATGAGGTTATTGATCTGTTTGCCAAGAAAAACAGAAGAATCGAGCTGAATTATAAACAATAAAGTAAGCATTAATTATATTCCAGGTTCACAGCCCTCTCATTTGATGGCTATAAAATTGTGTTGATAATTATGTGTTATTTTAATATATTACCTTAAATTTAGAATACATATTAAACTACTAGCTGTTTTCTTTTAAATAGAAGATAGAAACTATAGGATATGTAGAAAAAATTTATATACACGTATATAAAGTTGCTTCCCTGCTTTCGGTAGTCATGCTACGCCACTGGAGAATAATGTACATGAGAATTCCAGCCACGAGAGGGTGACATGACCCTTAACATTAACAAATCACACTGTTTAAATGTTAGATATGTGCTGTTTGTTAGCATCAGAAATCATCATCCACTGATGTTTCATAAGAATGGGTGACTTCCTTCACAAAGGTGCCATGCATACACATGACATGAACTAATGCCTGACATGGAACATTCTGTGGGCAGTTGACTTCTTGTATCAAAGTTATTTCACAGCTGGTGTCATCTCTCACCTTCTGATCACCATTTCATCATGTGCTCTCTGGGCCTCTAGCTTCCTTCACATTAATTAACAACTTTCTTCGATATTCTGTCTTATGTGCAACACTGTTTAAAATTTTGTTTAAAAGTTACTACATGTACACAATGGTGTCTTTTAAACTTGTTTTAAAAACCACATTGTACACTACATGTTTCAACTGTAATCGGTCATCATCAAGTGTTCTAAAACTGTTTGTGGAGACATCTGTGTTTGCATTTTGAGCTTCTAATGTTCGATGTGAAGTCCCATCACATATTCGTGTTTTTCGTCTTGCTCGGTGTTTCCTCCTGTTGTGTTGTGTGTTTAAACTACAAGTGTTTCATTCGCATATTCTGCATTAGCTGGACAACCATTTGCTTTCGTTACATTCTCATCATTCTAGAGAAGTCTGGTTTCATATTTGTTTGTCCCTCCTGTTTCAGTCAGTTATCAAGGATGTGAATAACATGTCAGCTTCTTGTTTCAGTGATACTGATTATGTGTCACCTTCCATCTCATGATGAAGCCTTTCCATTCTCCCTTACCATCTTGTAAGTACTGCTCTTGCATCTCTGCCCACTCTGTCTTCACTCTGCATTGCATACCTCATTTTGTCTTCTGTACATCATTTGTTTAACATTTGCTTCTTGATGCTCTCAAATGAAGCGTTGCCATGCAGAACTACCATGTAGCCCCACACCAGTTCATCCTTACGATGCTGCACACAAAGTGTTCTGTCAACTTCAGATACTCACATTAAGATTTAAATTAAATGGCAATTGTGATATATTTATAAAACACATGAAGCCTGCCGACATTTACTGCACGTGTCTGTACCATTTTGTGTTGAAGATGAACGGAACTGTCCTCGCAAGAAGGAGTGTGAGCTTGGAAGCAAGTGCCATCAGCAGTGTGTGACCCTGGCAAATGGAACTGATGCATGTAGCTGCCACACTGGCTACACATTAAACTCTGATGGGTACAGGTATGTGGACACTACACTACTTCATGTTGCAATGCCTGTGGCTACAGAAGTTTGACTTTGTGGGGTACGGGTCTGTGGACCACTCTGAAGACATGCATCTCTTTCTTCCCCTCATCCCATTTTATTCTGATAATATTCAGTGTTCAAATCAGCACAGAAGCATAATAAAGCATGGAGTAGGAGAACTGTCTGTAGAGTGTAATTAATACCCACTGATTAGCCTGACCAAGAATACCTGTGTCATAAACACATGAACATTATAAAATGGTAAACAGTAAAGTAAAAATGTAAAATTATTTCTCTACTTAATTCATTAACCACCATGGCATGAAGACGTGGGGCGTGTGTGGAAGAAAAGCTCCACCATTCTTGACCTTGGCACTAGATGGAGATGAGTGGTCAGCTTCACGCCATGTGAAATAGCTCCCAGCAACTATTGGATAGGAGGCTGGGTGAGCCCCAGTGCCAGTCGGGATGCTGTGGAGAAGAAAAAATTCTCTTACCACTACTAGGAATCAAACCCTAGCCATCCAGCCCATAGCCCATTGCTATACCTACTGAGCTATCTAACCTCACATCATAAAATGGGGGGAAGCAAGATTATGAAGGAAACAGAAACTGCAGTCTTCTGTGATGAGATGTGATGTACAAATTTTGATGTTTTCATAGTGCCAGCTGTTCAGATTGTTTTCTTCTGGGCTGTGACATCATTTGTAGTCTTGTAGGAGGATAAAGATGTTTCAGCCGAACATACTTCTGTGGTAGACGATGATGATGATGGTGTATGACACTCAGAATTACTGGGTTTTCAGACCTCATTCATCGTCCAGTATTCTAACAAAACTAGTAGAACACAATGTTTCAGAAACTGGATCTCCTTCTGTCCTCAGGTGCATGAAGAGACATCTATTCTGTTGGGTCCCTTGGAAAGAACTAACCTCAATCACTGAACCTCCCACTCCAGTTTCTGAAATGCTGCATTCTACTAGGTTTTGAGAATAAGGGACAAGGGACAAAGTCCAAAAACCCAGTAATTCTAAGTGATATGTATGTGGCCCTAAGAGAACCATTTTCATGCTCAGCTGTTCTTAATGACCTTGACCAGGCTCCACTTCCTCTCTGGCTGATCTGCATGACCATCTTTCTTGCAGCCTACATACACACAGTTTAGACACTTGAACCCTGAAGATTTAGGCAATATGTTCCTACAAAACTTTGGTACCTATCTACAATGCTACATTTCATATGTGGTAACCATCTGCCACTACTACAGCATCACATCAGAGATGATTCACAGTTGTAAGAACCTCAGATACAATAAAGTAAATGTACAAAAAAGGAGTGTAGTGCAAGTTTCTGTGTATATTTCTTGTATTGTTAGTTGGGAGTTTGATAGGACATCATTTTATGTGATGGACAGTAGTTTGTACAGTGAAACAAACCTTCATTTAATACTCAATGTAAGGTTTTCTTTCATTAATATTCGATTTCAGTGATCCTAAATCAATGAATTCAGCATTAAATTGCCTTCATTTAAGCCTCTAATACAGCATTGTTTTAATGTGCAGCTGTCGAGATATTGACGAGTGCCTGTACGAGACAGGCCCAGTGTGTAGCCAGAGATGTAAAAACATAGTTGGCTCGTTTACTTGCGGTTGTATGACTGGCTACATTCTCCGCCCTGATGGCCGTACGTGTAAGGCTCTTGGTGCTGCTCCAACCCTTCTCTTTGCTAACAGAGTAGATATAAGACAAGTAAGTAAGTGCGTTACTGTCTTTCAGAATGTTCAACTCTTTGTCTGTTCACCAGAAATATGGTAGACATTTAGTGTAGTTGCATGACTGTACAGATTTTATTTCAAATCTACATTTCAAAATGAAATCTGACATTTCAACACATAAAGTACTATATTTCATCACCCTGTTGTACTGGTCAATCGATTGATTCACATGGCAATCTCATAGGTGTAACTTCTTCTTGTGAATGTAGACTGGTGGTGCGCTACACTGTCGCACATTATAGCTGTTTCTTCTGAAACATGTTTTGACATTAGAAGATCATCATTGGGTAGATTATTTACATAATTGCTGTGCTTCATTTTAGTTAGTTCACTGTTCTAAAACATTGTTAAAATTCATTTAAAATCTAAATTATTTTTCAATTTTGTTAAAATTAGTTAAAACCTTTATGCTCTCCCAATTATGTTGCAGAAGAAACAAATATAATATGTGACAATGTAACACACAACAAGAAGTTGCACCCGCAAGGCTGCTCTTGCAAGTTAAATGCTTATCACATACAAGTTTAACTTCTGTATGTTGCACTGTTCATGCAGATTAGCCTCAACAGTGCCAAGTATACAGCCTTACTGAAAGGGCTGCACAACGCAATTGCTTTGGATTATCACTACAAGAAAGGACTGATCTACTGGTCTGATGTCTCTATGGATGTCATCAGAAGAGCCACACTGAATGGAACAGGGGCTTTTGGTAAGTAATGCACAAGCCTGCTATGATTGGACCAAATAAAAGCAACAAACATGTAACAAAGAACACTTTTATAAGTTTTAGGATAGCTCAGTCAGTACAGCAACTAGCCTACAGGCTGCATGGCTGAGGAATCAGTGTTTGATTCCTGGGAAGGGTAAGAGATTCTTTTCTTTTTTGCAATGACCAAACTGGTTCTGGACCCTACCCAACCGGCTATACATTGGGTACTGTGGGCTGTTTCCCCGGGGGGTGAAGAAGTAGGAACATGAAGCTGACCACTCACCTCCATCCAGTGCTGAGGTCAAGAATGGTGGAGCTATACCTACATTCCCCCATACATCTTCATAGCGTGGTGTTTAACTAATTAATTAAGCCTAGGGAAAAATTTATCTTTTTAGTACCACCAGCATAAATTGAAGTAATAAAAATCGCTTAACTCTTAACAACATTCTCACTGAGTTCACCAGCATAGAGATAATGTCCCAGACTGACATACAGGAGGTAAAGGTAAAGGTAAAGGTAAAGTTGTCTCTGTGCTTAACTACTTAACCACTATGCCATGAAGACATATGGGGGAGTGGATGTATTCTTGACCTTAGCACTAGTTGGAGGTGAGTGGTCAGCTTCACCTTGGGAGAAAGAGCTCCTGGTACCCATTTGATAGGAGACTGGGTGGGCCCCAGAGCTGGTCTGGACAAAATGGAGAAGTGAAAATTCTTGACCCTACCAGAACTTGAACTTTGACCCCTCGGTCTTACAGCCTGTAGCCACTCGCTACACTGACCGAGCTATCCTGGCTGTGCTCAGTTTAAATCTCATTCAGGATGACAGATATCCTGATAGGTTTTTTGTGGTTTAACTCGGTCCCTGTAGGAAAATATTGCTTCCTTCCATCACTTTTTAAATCCATTACCATTTGACACTATACAATCCAGTTACTGATAAGGTCATAAAATAACCCACAAAAGAGAGGACTAAATATTACCATGTCTAATCTGTTTGCTACATATGAGATGTGAAGCACTTGTAGCATGCACAGAAGAGATAAATACATTATAATTTTGAGTTGGAAAAACTGAATGGAAGAAAACCATCTGGCAGAAATAAGCTGGATAAGAGGACAACTTTGGGACAAAGGAAAAAGGCTGTGAGGATGTGGACTGGATTACAGTCACATAGTGTAGTGGGTTGTTGTGTGTGTAGTAGTGAATATTCAGGTTCCATAAGAGGGAGGAAATTCCTTGACAAGCAAAGTGAGTGTCAGTTGCTCAAGAGTGACCCTGTTCCAAGCAGTTAGTTATTTCTTTTGTAACCTGTGTGGACCCCAGATCCAGTCTGGATGCTGTGGAGAAGAGAAAATCTCTTGCACATGCCTGGAATTGAACTCTCATCCCTTGATTGTGCAATATATTGATCAAGCAGTCACAGACACAACAAGAGGTGGTCCTCTAATTTAGGGATTGGGAATGGAGTAAACAACCCTTCACCATAAAAATAAAGTCTGAGGTTGCAAATCTTTTTTTGAATATTGTGTTACAATTTTATGAAATTATTGCTACATATGCTCCAAGACTTTCAGACTAAGACATAAAAGATATATGATATAAATNGTTTGGAACACAGGAAAAAAAAATCTAGTATATGTTAATGTATGGATTTATGATGGATATTTTACTACTTTTGTGAAATCCTTACTATTTATGTGAAATTGAATTGTGCATGTATATATGTATTGTATGATTTTTGACAAATTCCACATCCGGTAGGTCATCTGACTAACTCATGGATCTATGGAATGCTATGTATGTATGTATGTAATGCTTACACATTCTGTACTGACAGATGTGATTCGCTGGGGTCTGGAAAGTCCAGGTGGAATTGCAATTGACTGGATTCATGACACCATCTTCTGGACAGATTCTGGGACACGTCGCGTGGAAGTAGCGACCTTGGATGGAAGACTGCGTGTCATTATTGCTTCTAGTGATCTGGACAAGCCACGAGCTATTGCGGTTCATCCTGGGGAAGCCTTTATCTTCTGGACAGACTGGGGTATGTATGGAGTTCATTATTTAACACTTTCCATGCTGAATTAAATTAAAAAAAAAGAAGAAAAACATTGGAGAACAAATCTGTATGAATATAAAAAGCACATCTTATGAAGTCATGTGATTTGTATTTTAAATATTTTTTGATAAGATAAAACTTTAGTATCTGGGAATAGGGGATTTAAATCTCCCTATTCCAGGAGCTTAACCATCAGGTCTTAATTCAGGGGAACAGTATTAGTGCTGAGAAAAGTGTGGTGTTCATTTGTCTGAACAGCAAGCATGTGCAGTTATGTTAGAGTAACATAAATAGAATGAAGGTAACTACATAACATATCATAACATAACACAAGGGAAAATATACATTTGTTAACTGTAATATATGCACTGTGGATTGACACTGTCAGCAATACAATTGTGTATGTAATAAGTGAACAGGACAGCTAATAGCAAACACTGTGGTCAAGCAGGCAGCACTCTTGCTTTGTATTCAGGGGGCCTGTGTTCGACTCTCAGGCTGGAAACTAGCTATTCTGATTGAGGTCCTTTGTAGTCCTCATCACTGCCTCTAGGAAAATGCTGGGATGGTACCTCAATGAAGCCACAGCTGCTTCCTTACAGATCCTTTCCAATTCATTATTCATCTGTCATCTTACAGTTTGAAGCAATAAAGTCTAGAGATTGACAGTTTCTTAAAATAATGCATAAAAACTGCAACGATTTGAAATGTATGTGTGTAGAGAAATGAAACTGAATCCAGTGAAAAGACAGTGGCAAACTGTTCTGTTACTGACTGAGATTTTGTCAGTCTTACATATGAAATTTGATGAGAAATTATTTGCCCTCCTGGTGGTATCTACATGAAGACATGAGCTAAGTCACTATGGCCAACACCTTTTCCAAAAAAATTTGAAGATACTGATGTACAGCATACTGAGATAAGAGAAGGTATTTGATAAAGCTGAAGCGTGAACCAGTCCCATTCCTGAGCTGCATTCACTACCTGGAAGCCACAAAATTCATAACTACAATGATATATATACATGACCCCCTAACAAACTGTCAACAAAGTGTCATGTGTAATCTTGTCTGTTACTTCATTCAACACCATCTTTTCAAATTCTAAATTGCATAGAAACTGGTGAATACATCAGTGAACCTTCAGACTCCACAAGAGGGGAAAAATTTCTTAACTAGTTGAGCAATTATCAGCTTCTCAGAGGCTGTTCTCCTTGAAGTTAAACAAGCAGAAATATCCATTCTACATATATAATGTCTTCTCCTTCCTGGTCAGTATCACAGTATATAGCAGCAAAAACTTTTTAATGACTGAATAACATAACGAGATAAAAAGCTGAGGCAAAGCTATCCCTGTAACAGGCCCTGGAGGCCCATAGGGTTGTGAGATGTTGAGGGTCCCACATTATGTCTAGACAATCGGCTCACAGATGGTGGTGAGGTTGTCAGCCTTATGCACCACCCCAGGAAGATTCCTGGTACTCATTTGTGTTGGCAGCTGAGTCAACCCCAGGGCCATAGTGTGGATGGAAGGATTAGGTCAATTGAAGAAATCCACCTCATTGGGTCTCGAACCCACAACCTTCAAGCTTGTAGCATAGTGCCTCAGCTAACTATGCTACCGTGTGCCCCATTAAGAAGCTGAAGTATGCACATATCACCCTACCATTCAACACTTTACTGTCTACCGACTGACATCATAAAATATCCCCACCCTCAAAAGAAGATCAACTGAGCTACATAAATCAGCGTTCTTGTATATGTAATATTTTCTGCCCCTCCACACAAATTGAGGGAGTGCCTTAAAATCAGCCACAACCACTTCCTTCCACATGTTTATACCATTTTGTCATTCATAATCATCCTATAATTCAATGCTTCATTAATATATGCAGTTGAAATGCATCATTAAATAACCACAGAACTGACTAATTAACAGCAACATAATTATTTCCCTGCAATTTCAGGCCCAGTTCCAAAGATTGAACGAGCAGAGATGGATGGCAGCAACAGAGTGGCTATTGTCACGGAGTCCCTGTTCTGGCCTAACGGTTTGTGCCTTGATTACACAATGAATCGAATCTACTGGGCTGATGCCAAACACCACGTCATCGAATCATCAAATTTTGATGGGAAGGACAGAAAGAAGGTATGAAGAGAGAGACTGGCGATACTAGAGGCAAGTGCCTGCAGTTGTTGTGCCCAAACAATGCCATGAAGCAAATTTTTACTTTTCTGGTGTGTTTAAAGGACATTAAGACAACTGCATTCATTATTCACCCAAGTTCAGCACCTCCTTGTATAGTATTTTTACTTTAAAATGGGAGTAATTGTGGGGTTTTCACTTTATTATATAAAAGAGGTCATACTCGTATAAGAAAGAAATGTGATAATATTGGAATTTTAAAATATGTATGAGTTAGTGTGAAACTTGGTCACCCACAGAGATGAACAGACTGAGAACATTTGAGAACAGAGTGCTGCGGACACAAGGTTAACTCTGCTTAAGCTTGCTTTAAGACTGATGTTGCTTGATCTCATATGGTTTACCGACACAAAGGTATGGCGGTTCATTTTTATTTCACCGAACCATGGAGAGGAGCCATTCCTGTAGTACCATTCAAAGTAGCTTTTTTCTCTGTCCCAGTTGGTGTTTTGACAGAAACTGTGAATTGTTTTCTACCTTTCTTCTTCCACTGGGTTTTATGGTTGGGCTCTTGTGAACGAGATTATGAACTTTTCTTTCAATAAAATACTGATAATTTCTAGAGCAGCTGAGTAACAGTTAACCTCTGAAGAAGACTTGGCTCCATGGAGGTAGTTATCGGTAGTGTGAGTGCTCTGGTCTGGCTAGGACTGCACCAGAAAACCACGGAAACTGCAGGAATGTAAGAAATATTTTCTCTGGTCCATTTAGTACAAGCTGTGGTGTTTTCTTTTGAATCAAAACTTCTGTGGTATTGAATGGCAAGTTGTAAAGAATTATTATCATAATATTGACATTAAAGTTGTTTCAACATGAACATTATTTCAGGTGATCAGTAAAGGACTGCCACATCCATTTGCATTGACAATATTTGAGGACGCAATTTACTGGACAGACTGGCATACGAAGAGCATTTCCACTGTCAATAAAATCACTGGAACGGGCTTCATGACAATACATTCAGGACTTCACTTTCCCATGGACATCCACAGGTAAGTGCAGAGAAGAATGCAATTTTTGATGTAAAAAAAAGTCAAGTTGTTCCTGTGTTTAATTATGCACCACACTGTGAAGATATACTGTATTACACATCTTTTCCTGTTGTCAAAATTGGGGTGTACCTTAAATTCGAGGAACATGCACCTTTTTAATTTCTTTCCCAAAACCCACATTCAAAAATTAGGTGCGTCTTAAATTTGTGGGTGTCACATATTCAAAGTAATATGGCATGTGGGAGTGGAGGTAACTCCAGACACTTAACCTTGGCACTACATGGGATGAGTGCCAGCTTCATGCTGCTGCTGCTTTCTCCCTGGTGGGGAGGAGCCTCCGGTACTCATTTGATAGGAGATTGTGTGGGCCTTGACCATATACAGCAATACCTCGCATAGTCCGCGTAATTGGTTCCGCCAATATCCTCGACTGTTTGAAACCGGAATAATTGAGGAACTAAATACATACATACAAAAAATGATAAATGGTGCCCCCCAAAAAATTCCATTTTTCAATAAATAAAACACGATTAATAAATTCAAATGTCTTTATATAGAAGATAATTTTTAAAAATTCATGTTTTTTGCAATTCATTTTTTATTGTCTAAAAATTGCAATAATGATGTCTGCACATTTTTCTTCTTTGGCCTTTTCTCTTCATACATTTCTTTGTAGCAACGAATTGCATTGCTTATCGTTTGGCGAATTGTAAGGCTACGTTCAATATTGGAATCAACTTCCATAATATGCTCTGACAAGGTTTCAACCATTCCAATAATTTTTGATAGTTGTTAAGCTGTTAATTCTCATGCAGGCACTTCAACACAGTCGTCATTGTCTAAGTTGTCCTCCCGTTCTTTCCATACTGCCCTCATATTGCTTGCCATTAATTCATGCCGTGCTTCGCCTATATTTTCGATAACATTCCTGATGTTGTAGCTCTTCCAAAATTCCGTGAAATTAGTGCTCTCCCCACCTCCTCCAGTGATAGGTGTCAGAGCTCAAGAGCAAATGACCCGAGCATGGGTACATATATATACAACGGGGAACCCCAGAAAAAATTGAAATATATATTGTATCGCATAACTTAAAACCACATAAAAATAAACAGAACAAAACGAGACTTGACTGTATAAAGGGAAAAAAACCGATCATTTATGTATTACAATAATTTTGTGTACTAATTTTTTGTAATTTATATTTATTTTGCTCAATTAAAATTTAGTTTGTTTTGAAATTTTCAAACCGGACTATAGTGAATCTGGACTGATTGAAGCTGGACTATGCGAGGTATTGCTGTATACTGTTATAGGTGAATATTGAAGTTTTGCAGGAAGATGCTGCCTCCATCTTCAGGGTGGAAATATGCAAGATGAAGAAAGCATGCTGCAATGAAAGTGGTCACTCTGACCCAGAGTAGGGGGGATAGGAAAAGGAGCCCATTCTGGGCCAATGGAAATGATGGTATGGAAAACAATACCTTTCTGGAGTTCAGTATGGCTTTTGTCATAGGAGTGACACTGAAGATGGGGGTAACATGTCCCTCTGAAGCGTCAGTATTCGTCTACAAGTCTACATGGTGTTATAACACAGAACACCTGAGAAAACCCAGAAACTTAAATCTAGGTTCATAAAATCTGTTCAGCAACTTCACTTACTGAAGAAAGTTGTCTTCTGGGTTTAGGCACCGTGTATTCTTCGTTTTGGCCGACGTTTCGGAGGAACGTAGCGCCTCCATCTTCAGAGCAGTTGAATAGCTGCGGAGAGCAGTAGCTGTGGTGATAGGATGTGGAAGGTGCTGCTTATATACGAAGTAGGCAGGGGGGGGGGTTAGGGAGAACGGACCAATGGGAGCAGTGGAGAGCGATTAAGGCCATATATGGTGTGTGACTAAGGGAGAGGGGGAAACGGCCAGTGAGTACAGGAAACTGAGGTCAATAGCACTAGGAAGTGCGGTAGTCAAGAAAAACCGGTAGGTTGAGGACAGGCTATTGACGTCAATGACATGACGAAGAACTGGTGTGGCTAGTAGGATTCTCTTGAGGGAAAGGATGTTTCACGTCTGTCGAGATTGTTGAGAGCGATAAAGACCATATGATGTGTACTAAGTAGGGGGGGGACGGCCAGTAAATCCAGGAACTTGAGGTCAATAGCACTAGGAAGTGCGGTAGGCAAGAAGAACTAGTTGGTTGGGGACAGGCTACTGACGTCAATGACATGATACCTGGGGACAGGCTACTGACGTCATTGATATGGCGAAGAATTGGAGTGGCTTGTTGTATTTCTCTTGAGGCAAGAGATGAGTGGCTTCCATGACTTGTTGAGACTGAACCCTGTTTCCTTGTTCATGTTGTTCGGATGGAGCTCAATCTCAACGGCCTCCAGGATTATGCGATCTAGATAACGGCT